TAAATAAATGGGGTTTCTCTTCTCTCCAGTTCTCACCCATCAGCCCAGCAATTCATCCTGAATCTTCTGGGCAGTGGAGATGAAGTACATTTTCATGAAATCCTAGGCTTCGAAGGGATGATGGAGTTTCATTCAGTCCAACCCCTTACTCAGCACAGGCTTTGCGGAAGTAGATGTGTCTACAGTGTCCCCGGGAGGTGACCATCCAACCTCTGCAGTAAATAACTCCCGCGAAAGAGAGCCTGCCACCTCCTATGGCAGCCTGTTTCTTTTGGAAGAATTAAAACTGGATTCATGTCAAGCAGTATCGTGCTTACATTGACAAGCTGCTGGTGTTCTTGCCTCTATTTGCTAGCCAAATAAGAAGGTGCAGGACATGTAGAGATAATTGCCTAATTAAGCAGTTGTAAAACCCCTGGCCTTGCACCATTGAGTTTTATGGTAGAATGAAACTCTCATAATCTCTGTTTGATGCAGTAATGGCCATGTTATCTGGGAACAATGGGAATTTTAGTCTGGCACACTGGAGAGGGGGATCTGTACCAGCTGGATGAAAGACGGATTTAATGTGACAGAGAGTGGTCTGCTGTGGCCTTCCAGATATTTCTGGCCTACCACTCCCATCAGACCAGCTGGTATAGTCAAAGCGGAAGGAAGGAGGGTGTTGCAGCTCAAAAATATGTAGAAGACCACGGTCATCCTGATTAGAAGATGCAAGTCTTCCTTGAATCCCTGTTGGGAGTTCACAGATTCAGTATGGCTTTTCTGCTGATCAGGCTTTTGACAACACATGTAGATAAGGAAACTTCTCTGAAACTTCCAGATAGACCTTTGATCTGTTGGTTGCTTTCTATTGGCTTCCATGGCTATCTCATTTTTCCATGACGTTCCCCATTTTTCTACCCCTCCCTTATTCCAGGTGAGGAGGGAAGGATGCATTGGTTGTTGTGGGTTTTTCGGGCTCTCTTGTGACCGTGCTCTGAACAACCTTCAGAACACGGCCAAGAGCCTGAAAAACGCACAACAACCATTAGATCCCGGCCGTGAAAGCCTTTGCGAATACATCGAAGGGTGCACTCTTGCCTTCTCAGGGAAAAAAATCCCTCACCTGCAGTTGGCCCTAATGAAAGAACCTCCTTGTGCAAGGCACTTCCCTGCCTGGTTGCATGGGAGGAAGTGACATAATCTTTGTCAAAATTGCCACCAGGGAGATGGCACTAGGATCGTTGTTTGTGGGTATGGGTGTGTTAATGTACGTACATTAATGCATGTAAAGAGAGAGGTAGGCGTACATGTAGAAAGAGGGGGACAAAGTGTGGGTTATCCTACCTGCTTTTGCTTTGGCCTCACTCCTTGTAGACTTGCAGCTCCAGAAGGTTAGTCATGGAATAATGTGCTTCTGATACTGATAGAGATGATAGCCTCCCCCAAGTGGTCAGCATCCTGGTATGTTGAGCTGCACAGCGCATAGTTCGAATCAAGCATAGCCCCTTGAGTTCATGAGAGTTGTGATCCAGTACATCTTGAGAGTAGAAAGTTGAGGAAGGGTACTGTAATAGAACCAACTGGTATGGTACTTCTTGATAACTTGCAGCCGTGGACTAACATGGATGCATCAGAACTTCTGGTTACACAGAACACCATGTATTGTTGTGAAGTTGGAGGTCCCAAAGTGGGTTTATCAGCTTTGATCCTACATTCTTGTGGCACTTCGTGATGTAGTAGTTGAGCTACAGTACTGCAGCCAAAACTCTGCTCATACTACATTCTTGTGGCACTTTGTGATGTAGTAGTTGAACTACAGTACTTCAGCCAAAACTCTGCTCATGACCTGGGTTCACTGCCAGGTAGCCAGCTCGAGGTTCACTCAGCCTTCCATCCTTCCAAGGTTGTGAAGTTGAGTACCTTGCTTGCTGGGAGGGAGGTGCAGTGTGTAGCCTGCATCATTAAATTGTAAACAACCCAGAGAGTGCTTAAAATGCTATGGGGTAGTATATAAGCAGCAACTTTGTTTTGCTTCTTGGTTTTGTAATATTGGGGAACTAAAAGGGAAGAAATGCAGAGTATCGGGAGATAATAACTCAGTAGGTGCAATGAACTAAAGGTAACTATTTTGCAGTGAATAGAACATTGAAAGGGAAAGAGGACTTGTAGAAAATGTTTTATCTGGTGGTGTGGCAGGAGATGAAATATTAGACAATTATGTATATGAGTCCTAGAAGAACTCATTAACTTAATGTTGCCTAAAAAGGACTCAATGCATCAAACAGTGGTAGTAAATGAGTACAGTGTGCATTTTGTAGGTTCTACAGAAACTCTGAGACTTTTAGGATTATTACATTATGAACAACTGTAGGCAACATTTTTTGAAAGGGATGGTGGGCGTTGTGGTTCAGATATCTTGGAGAGAGCCAGAGGGGTTCTACTTTTGCTTTAGAGCAGACGTGGACAATTAGGGCTTCTTTGCTTATAGCCAATGCATGTACGGGACTTCGGACGTTTTAGGTGTGCCTGTTTTCGGAGTCAGCCACAGAGGAACCATTCAATGTATTTTCATTTACCTTTTTCTCCTTTTGTAAGCCTGTGGGCTTCTCCCTCAGCCTGCCTCTAATTACTTATTCATGTCCAAAACCAGAGTTTTAGTCAATATTAAGCCAATCCTAAAACTTCCAGGTACAGTATATGTTATCCTGGTGTGAAACCCCTTTTCTACAAGGAAATGTAGCATGGACTCATCCTGCTCGAGAAGAACATAGTGCCTTGCAAGTTCTACCAGGGATCTAAAGAAGTGGCCTGTAGTCTGTGAAAACTTGTGCAAAATAAAAAGTATTGATCCTTCAGGTGCCGTATGGCTCTTGGCTGTTCTTGTGCCAGAGAGCATGTTAATGCTTCTTTCTTTTTTCCTCTGCTCCCCAGGTTATGTATGGAACACTGGTGGCTGTTTTAGTACTGCGCTCTGTATATATAGTGTTATGGTAAGTAACGAGTTAAGTCTCAAATGGAGGCCATACTTTATCTAATCAAGGAGCAGCTTCCTGTGAGAAACTGGAATGGCTGATGTAGCTTCTCAGCTTTTCTGGCAGTCATTAAACTGTTGCAGTCTTTCCCTCCATTGCTGTTGACTTCAGAGAGCAGTGGCTATGTGGCCATGCACCATTGTTTGTTTAAGCAGCAATCACAATTGTGCTTCACAAAAAAAGCATTTTATTAGACATGGGCTATTCGTATTCATATCCCTGGGGATATGAATATGAATCGGAGCACCACAGGTGCCACTGGGGCCCATTCCCTCACCCCAGAACTGGCCGGTCCACTCAGTGGTCGCTGCGTAGTGCTTGGGTCCTTCGTTGTTGTAATTTGGCAGATTGCCTAGCTGCATCCCTGTCTTGATGTGGGGGCGCTCACCACTTTGGTCCATGCACTCGTAGTCTCAAGATTAGACCACTGTAATGTGCTCTGTATGGGGTTTCCTTTGAAACTGACACAGAAACTTTAGATGGTACAAAATCCAGTGGCCAGGGGTGAAACCAGACTTCCATATTTCCCCCACACTGGCCGCCTTGCATGGGCTGCCCATTCGCTTACGCGTTGATTTCAAATTTCTTACAATGACATATAAAGCCCTAAACGGTTTAGGACCTCGACATCTGGCAGAGCGCCTTCTCCCACCCAGTTCTTCCAGAGTTACTCGTTCCAGGCAGGCCAGGCAGCTGAGGGGCCTAACAACGAGGGGGGTCCGGAAGGAAAGAATGAGGAACAGGGCGTTCTCGGCAGTGGCCCCTCGCCTCTGGAACAACTTGCCCGTTGAGATCCGCCTGGCTCCCTCTCTATTCCTGTTTTCAGGAATAAACTTAAAACCTGGCTATTTGGGCAGGCTTTCCTCCCTGCCGTATCTTAATTTCTTATACTTCGCGACCTTGGATCTATGATATATGTCTTTGGTTTTATTGTTTTTAAAGTTGTAAGCTGCCCAGAGTAGACCTTTGGTCTAGATGGGCGGGATAGAAATCGAATGAATGAATGAATGAATAGTGCCAATCCAGAAAGGAGCCCGGATGGCACTTCCCCACCTCCTTACTCAGCCAGCTATTCATCAGCTGAGTGGGGCGATTCTCCGGCCCATCTCACCAGAGTAGTCAGCTCTGCAGGGAGGCTGGGAAGACCCAACTGCGCTTCTTTGACAATTGGTACAACGCTGATGATGCTGCGTGGTGACCAGTGAGTGAACCAGACGGTTTGGAGGAGGGGGAATGGGCCTCCCAATTCGTATATGTATCCCCAGGGATACGAGTACAAATAGCCCATGTCTACATTTTACTGATACCAGTGGCTAGTTCATGTCAGGGCGCAATTTACCTTGGGATCCTTTTTTCCATTGTGCTGTGGGCCCATATTAAGAGCTTGGTCCCATTTGGTCAGCCAGTGAACCTACCATTGCATGTTTCTGTAGTCTGTCACCACATTGTATTGCTACCTTGATGGCATATTTTTTGGGCACTGGTGATAAAAACCATGACAGATTTCTAAACCAGTTCTGTACATATTAGCTCTAATATACGTCAAACCCTGAGTTTGGCTTGAGCTTGCCTACAGGTGAATGTGCCTGACGTGGGAAAACTTCAGCTGCCTGCATATTTTTCTCTGCAGTGTCCCCAAACTGTACCTAGCCTCGCTGGTAGTTAGGGATTATGGATATTGTAGTTGAAAAAAATCTTGGAGGAAGGTGAAGAACCCTGTCTCTCATGTAGAACATTTGTGAGCAATGTCAGCCAGTTTAGAGAACAGTTCCACTGCCCGACAGTGTCTGCTATAGACCAAAGTAAATTGCATCACTAAAATTCAGCAAAAAATCCAGCTAGCAGATTAAATTTTAAACACTCTTGATAGAGAATGGTGGTATAAATGAGTTTCAAAGGAGCCTTCCAGATACAGGGGAATAGACACAGGTCACTAACAAGGTGAATCAATTTCTCCTTTTCTTTCAGTAGATATTTTAGATGTGGTAAGATTGTACTTTAGCTTGCTTGTATCCCTGCAGGCCCAGGTGTGAAAAGGGGATTATTTATTCATACTGTTTTAGTTCGCTCCAGTGAGTTAATGGAGAATATCCATTGAGCCAGAACTGTGCTGCAATTAACTTAAAATTTATTTCAGCAGATGCAACCACAAGCCAGAGAGGTCCATAAAAATAGTGAAGACAGAAATATATTGTATTAAAAATAATAGTAACAGATATATTTTAAAGCATACCTAATGATGCATAGAATGTGACAGCCAGAAACAGTGATGAAATATATGTTAACTGCATTAAGTAAAGCACAGTAGATAACAAATGAAATGTCAAAGGTTTAGTATTAAACATTAGCTTGGTTGAATACCAACTCAACCTTCAGTCCAACTAATGTAGACATTGTGAATTCCCTGTTTTCAAATAAATGCGTATCTTATCACTCCGAAGTCCAGAATTCTTAGATGCTCTCAGCAAAAAGTCCCAGGAAAAGTTCAGAAATAATTTCCCTGGAGAGAAAAAAAATCTAAGATAAAAAATTATAAAGGTGTATCAGAAAATAGTTTTTTTAAAGAAAGTATTCAAAGTTTCAGGAAATCAAGTTGCAGTTAAGACAAAATTAGGAACACCCAAAAAAATCCAGCCCAAGTTACTATCCCTTGTCTGAAGCAAAAATATACAAACACATTTGCTTTAGGTAACATTTCCAAACTTTTGTTTATCCTGATCAATCTCTGTGTTCCTCCCGTCAAATATGATTCTGTCCTGTTTGAGATAGAGCAAGATGTTAGTCTTTTTCTTCAAACTCTTCTTTTTAATTTCAGGCTCTCTTTCAAACTTTATTATCAAATCCAGCAGTAACAAATTTATATATAGCAAAGTTTATTATTGCTATGAAGTGTAACAGCCTCTCTCAAATATCAGTGGTAAGACCCATTACAAAGTTTCTGCAGTCATAAAATGAAAATAAATTCAGAAAAGCATCTTGGTTGGGATCTCTTCTGTTGGCTTACAAAAAGTGCCCAAAGATCCTGTATTAGACACTGGCTGAAGTCCTTCTGCCTTAAGTTATGCCTTATTAAGGTAATGACATCAGCAAGGGCAATTGTTCAGAAATTAAATATTCCCCACCCCATGCCAGCGCCACCCCGAAGGAAAGTCAACCCGCTGACATGGCCTTATCAACATGTCTTAAATTTAAACTTTTGCTCGCAACAATTCTGATAATTACTGTAAAGACTTTCTCCTCCATCCTGGAGCCCCAAGTAGTTTCCTGGGGATTAAAGGGGTTTATGCACCCCGAAGGAAAGTCAACCCGCTGACATGGCCTTATCAACATGTCTTAAATTTAAACTTTTGCTCGCAACAATTTTGATAATTAAAGACTTTCTCCTCCATCCTGGAGCCCCAAGTAGTTTCCTGGGGATTAAAGGGGTTTACGCAGGAATCTTGAGACCTTCAGAAGAGGAGTCAGAAACATTTAATGTCCAAAAAAATCACAGATGATGATGACAGCATCAGCGTTACGTGGCATAACGTATTCAACGGTGTCAACCAGCATTTTCACATAGGCTGTGTGAGGGCAGCCCAAAACAACAAAGGAAATCATAAAATACACTTATGCTAGTACAAAATATTTTTAATTTTTTCCCCCTGTACCCTATGTATTATGGAAATCCGGGCAACTCAGAAAAGCTGTCTTTTCAGTATTTTTAATCAGGTTATTCCTGTGTAAGGTAATGTAGATGCTGCCCTATTTTCAAACTACAGTGGTGCCCCGCATAGCGACGTTAATCCGTTCCGGAGTAATCGTCGCTATGTGAAAACATCGCTAAACGGAATGGAAAAACCCATAGGGACGTTCCTATGGGGCCCAAACTCACCGTTCAGCGAAGATCCTCCATAGCACCGCCATTTTCGCGCCCTTGGTAGGCGAGGAAACCGCGTGAAAATGGTTGCGGCGGCCATTTTGGGCACCCGGCGGCCATTTTGGGACTGCTGATCAGCTGTTTAAAAAACATTGCAATGCGAAGATCGGTAAGTGAAACGCTTACTGATCATCGCAATGCGATGTTTTGCCCATTAAAACATCGCAATGCGATCGCATTAGCGATCTAAATAAAATGGATTGCTATGTGGATTCGTCGTTAAACGGTGCGCTCGTTATGCAAGGCACCACTGTATAGTTATTTACAACTGAAAGGAGCATCCTGTCATACTGTAAAATACATCTGGAATTTTTTAAAAATTCTGTCACGTACATCTGCGGACATCCCTCCTGGGAGCTGTGAACCAGCATCTCAGCTGCCAGGAAAGACAGATGGCAGCTGTTTCATGTTCACAGCATCCAAAATATCGGGCCCAGGGTCCCATTGCAGTCATCTTCCCACCAGTGGCCTTCTCAAAAGACAGCTCGCTCGCCCTGTGTGAACTGATTGTCAGACCAGACAGGTGTTTTGGTTTGATCCAGTCTATTGCTTTGTAATTTCAAATAAAAATATGTAATTCTTTACAACTTCAAAGCATTTCTAGTTCCATTTCATTGTCCCATAGATTTTTACAGAGTTCTTGGGTTAATTTTTTTAAAGGAATCCAGCACAACACTCAAAGACTCTCAGTGGTGTGAGAGGAACTTCCCTAATATTAGAAGGATGAAACTGGGAGAAGGGAAGGAAATTTCACTGGGTTTTTACTAACCTGTGATTAGTTTTCTGCAAGAAATGCAATTTGGGTTTGGATATGTATCCTGTAATTTATGAAAATCTCTTCCTTGATTTTATGACCCCATTGCATGTCTAAAATGGCATATACACACACCCTTCTCTCTCTATCTCTCTCATCATCATATAAAGCCTTTGTGGCCAGAGTCCTCTTGCTTTCGACATGGACTCTGCCTGACAGTTTTTATGGAGCAGTGCAGACCCATAGGATTTCTTGGCTCTTGGTACAGCTGGCACTTACTCAGCCACGTGCAATACAAATTGCCATCTGCAAAGTAAACATGCCAACATCATCTTCAGCAGGGCAAAGAAGCTGAGTTGTGCGTGGTTGCGTGAAGATGGTCCAGCCACTGTGTGACATGGCATCAGCTCATTGTCCTTTCTTTTGCCCTGGTATTAAGAGTGTAATGAATACAAACAACAGAGGAGGGAAGTCTGCACAGTGCAAGCAGCCCCCAAGCATGTTTAGGAACAGGGACCCTAATTGAGAACAAATCCCCTTTCTATTTCTGGAGATCTCTAGGAGCATCCGTGTTGTTGTTGTTGTTGTTTTTTAAATGAATCCAGGACCTCCAGACTGAAATCAAATGGATAGTAGTTCACTTCAGTTTTGGTTTTTCCTTATGTTTGCATTTTTCCAGTGGTAAGCGCAATCCCCACTGGGTCGTAGAGACAGAAGTTTTTTCAGCAGATTTTTCTGAAACTGTCTGCAGTGATGTATTATAATCTGAAACTGAAGGATATATTTAAGATATTCATATCTCTCTCTCTCTCTCTCTCTCCCTCTCTCTCTCTCTGTAGGGCAGCACAAAGGCTTAGGGGGCTGGGTTATACATCCTTGACCGTTTTTTTGCTGGGATTTTTCCTTTGGAATGTAGACAACATTTTCTGTGATAAACTGAGGTAAGTGAAGTGAAAGGTGTTGACTCTGTAGCCTCCCTGCCCTGCAGTTCTGTTGGTCAGAAGGATAAGTCTTGAGCTGCCCCCTCCGATGTTGGACGCAACACCTCTGAATAGTGGTACAGCGTTGTAGAGTCTTAACTTCAGGCCATGTTGGTCAGAAGGATAAGCCTTGAGCTGCTCTCTCCAAGGTTGGATACAACACCTCTGAATAGTGGTACAGCGTTGTGTTGCATCCGAGCCTGTCTCCACGGTTTTTCAGCCACCCAGTGCTTCCCCTTCCTGTACTTCTTTTCCCATATAATTGGACTTAAATGGGCCGTTTAACTACGCACGTGGGCATACTGACCGGTCTCAATGTCTGCAGATTGTGGAATGTTGGGTATCGATGATGGGGCGCTTCAGCTCTTCAGGGTCAGATTCAAAAATTCATAGTTGGCAAGCTGTTGGGAGAGGAAAATATTGCTAGTGTTTCTAGAAAGTTGGTACAGAAGCCCAGGAAAATGGAAAGAGCATATAGCTGGCTGGTTTAGAGCAGCTGTTCCCAACCTAATGCTCTCCAGATGTTTTGGGACTTCAGAACCCCTAATCTTGCATCATAGCTGGGGGTTGTGGGAATTGTAGTCAACACAAGAGGGAAATGCCTAGCTGGTGAAGGCGGTCTTAGAGGCAAGTAGGTGTGGATGACTTTGTCACTTCTTCCTTGTACAGGGGATTACGTGAGAAGCTGCCGCCTCTTGTGAGCGTTGTGACACAATTTCATGCTTGGTGGCACATTTTCACAGGCCTCGGCTCCTACCTTCATATCTTGTTCAGGTATTGTAGCCCTCTCTTCTGTGGTCTCTGCATGAGGACATTCTTGCCCCGTACCCTATGCCAGCTGTAACTGTAAACCGTTTTATTTTGAGAAGACTGAGAGGGTTTGCTTGGTTAAAAAAAAAACCAAAAAACTATTCCTGTTAATGATTCAGACCTGCCGCCGGGACTGTGTTCCTCTTTCTGCTTCTAGGAGCAGCATCCGAGCGTGTGAAGAGGTAGCAGGAGGGACCAGTGGTTGCTGCTTCATGCCCCCACCCTCGTCCTCCAGGCTCAGTCCAGAGTGTGATCTGACTGAGCAGAAGCTGTATGCCCATCCCTCTACCTCTTCATTGCTGGGAGGCCCAGAACTAGCCAGCAGTCAGTTTTATTTTATTTATTTTTAGAAGCAGAAAGAAAAGAAAGAAAATTGGCCTGCCTCTAAGGGTAGAAAGTGGTCTACGAGATTTAAAAAAACAGCACAAAAGTGTGGGTCTTCTAGTTCAAATGGATTGAGACTTGGGAGAGCCAGGATCATTGTGTGTCCTTGAACAGATCATTCTCTCTCAACCTGGCTGACCATCGAGGGTTGCTGTGAGAGTAAAGTGGAGATTGGGAGGGCCATTTATACCTGTGAGCCGGCTGGGGTAATGGCAGGAAAGAAACATAACTTGCAGAGGAAGGAAGTTCAGTAAAAAAATGTTTGGTAAATGTTGAAAGGGGAGTTGCCAATAAACACACCTTGTAGAAAGGTAAGCCAAAACCGGCTCTCCCCTAGCAGCTGGCGGGAAGCTGTCTGTAAATGGTGGCCTGAAACATTCTGGACACCCTCCTGTTCTATTAGTCTTGGCAAGTTGATGTTTCAGGGAGCTTTAGTGGGGTTAGTTGGGTGCATGGTCAGCTGCTCCACTGTAGTGAACTGAAGCAAATGATGATTTTGATTTTGGTGTCCTTGTTTTTCATCCCTGCTCCTTCTAGCTTATATTCAAGGACACTTTTCCTGAAGTACAGACCAAAGGTCAAGGTAAGCAATCAGCTCTTCTAGATAATATGCTGTTCAAAAGACAGAGACAGTTGCCCTAATAGTGATTATTATTATTTTTTGTTCTTTGATTTTTTTCCTGTTATAGAAGAAACCAAAAGGTGCGAAATATGTAAAATCTGCAATGTCCATATAACCCTTGAGAAGAAGAAATAAGGGTGCACCATCTCCTGAAATCTTTTTACTACATTTTATTCAAAGTTTTTTTTAATATCATTTCCTATTTATATTTATTATTCCAGAACAGAATATACAATGTCTGTTTTCCCAATAAATTTTTTGAGCTGTACAGTGTGCTTGAATTCTTTTGTAGCAAGTTCATTTCCTTTTACCAGCATGATATTCCAGATCTTAAAATGGACTCTCAAGAAATGTTAGAGAGTTGTCAGTTTTGCCTAATTGGGCTGCATATGTATAGAGAAGGTTTGTTACAAGTTCTAAATGGGATTAATTCATGAATCTACTGAGGTAGGACTGGGAAATTCAGAATTGAATTGGAAGGGCTGTCGAGTCCAACCTCCTGCTCAATACAGGAATCCAAATTAAAACAGATCTGACATATGGTCGTTCAATTTTCCCTTGAATGCCTCTAGCACTTCCCGAAGTAGGTGGTTCCATTGTTGTACTGCTCCAACAGTTGAGACATTTTTCCTGATATTCAGCCTAAATCTGAATTATCTGTAGCTTGAGCTCATTATTCTGCACTTTGGGATGATCAAGAACACATCCTGCTCCTCCTCTGTGTGACAGCCTTTCAAGTATATGAAGAGTGCTATCGTATCTACCCTCAGTCTTTTTCAAGGCCAAACATACCTAGTTCTTTCAGTGTTTCCTCATAGGGCCTGGTTTCATCCTTGTTGCCCTCTTCTGAACTTGCTCCAGTTTATTGGCATCCTGAAACACTTCCCTAGAAATCTTGGGTTAGTGGACATAATCATAATGGGGGTGGGGAGTGCATGCTGTCTGTCTTGAATGACAGAGTCAAGAGAGATCTTATAAATATCAATTTGCAGCGCATTTGGAGTGAATCAGCTGCAGCAGCTTGTCCAAATAACCAAACATCCGTTGAGCACTAATAACACAAGTGTTATTATAGCACAGACCTGTTAAGATATACAGTGGTGCCTCGCTTGACGAGGATAATCTGTTCCGTTCAAATTGCTGTTATGCGAAATCCTCGTCAAGCGAAATGAAAAAGCCAATTGAAATGCATTGAAAA